GCTGAGGGCCGTTTTCAGGCTGGCAGGTGACTGAAGCTCCCAACCTGTCCTTTTTTTCTTTTTTTTTAATTCTGGGCCAGCTTTAGGTCTGAGGCTTGGCTCCAGCTCTGAGGCCTCGGCTGCTGAAAGCAGGTGTCTGATTTGTTTGAGTTCTATAATCGAACCACTGTTTCAACTCCAGCTCTGAGATCCCAGCTGGCTGAAAGCAGGTTTCTGGGGTTTTGTTTAGCTTCTATATTTGTAACAATGTTTCAAACTGCAAGCTCAGAGGCCGGCAGCCACAGGTGGGGAACGTTGGCTTCCTCCGTCACTGAAGCAAGCAAGCCTCCTGTTCTCTTCAAGCTGCCTGGCTGCCGGCCGCCATCTTGGTTGGCAGTTAATTTGCATATCGCCCTGATTAGCCAATGGGAAGGGTAGCGGAGGTACAGCTAATTACCATGTTTCTCTATTATTAGATAGGATTTTATAATTAAGGGATAGACAGCATATATATTTTTTTCTTAAGTTTTCACAGTGGCAAAGACAGAATTCAAATCCCAAATTGTCTGACTCCAGAAGCAATTCTCTTTATCAATATACTGGTGTATTAAGTGAAGTACCTAAGATGCTGAGCTGTCTCAATGATTTCCTATATAGAACACTAGACTTTTTTCCAATTCTATTCCAAATTTTCAAGAAAATTTCAAATTGTAAGGTAACAAAAAGGGAGAAATCAGACTTCTCACTCATGAGATTTCCTTCTCTGGGGCTTAAAGAACTTAGACAGAACAGATTTTTAGAGTTCTAGATCATTTACCAATAGAATGAGCTGCCCATTCACTATTACAGTTGGATATATTGATGTCTGTTTTCAATATACACATCTCTGCTGGTGAAATTGTTTCAGTGCTCCAAGTCATCAGAGGGAAAAACAAAGAGCAACTTGGATTTCAAATGATAAATGACCATAATAAACATCATAAAGAGAGGGTAAAAATAAAATGCTTGTACATGGAGAAGTTGAAGCTGCCAGTTATATCTTTTTTAAAAAAATTAATTTAATTTTATTGTTTAAGGTATTACAAATAGTAGTACACATGTCTCCTTTTTTCCCCACTGACCTCCCCCCGGACTCCCCTACCCACAGGCACTTGCCCTCGTTCCCTCACCCCCCAGTGTCTTGCCAACAGATGCAAGACACTAGCAGTTATATCTTGAAGTCAGTGTAAAAGAGGGTGATGTCACAAACATGGAAGATATTTATTTTTTAACGACTTTTAAAATGCCATATGTAGACTTTTAAAATTTTTCTAATATTGGTTCCTTACAAAATATGAGAAACATGCAGTTAGTGAAATGAGAACATGTCAAATCTGTGACAAAATTGGTGTCTTGCTCCCAGCGTTAAGCAGTATAATTTTATTTTTTATTAGAATCCTACCTATCTTTAACATTGACAATAATGCTGAGGATGGAAATGTTGAGGAACATGGCCTTTCAAGGTTAAAAATGCAATTTTATTTTTACCAAATTATGCTTACATATAATGTTAAAAATTCATTAAAAGGTAAAAATGTTGAAGAAACCCTGAATTCTATTTCCACCTATTTTTAATAAGGATCTTGTGGTACCTCAGGACTCACAATTTGTCTTAAAATTATGTTCACCATACTCCTCCCTTACATGTTGTGAAATTTAATCTGCAGAATTTGTTATTATATTATCTAAATTCAATTCACACATTTATTTCAAGGTTAAATGTCCCCACCCCTCAATGGGGGAGGAAACACATTGTTCAATGTTAATGGAAAAACTTCACCTGTGAAATAGCTTCAGACTGTGAAATTAAATACCCCAGGTATGTTCTATGCCTTACTCCCTCTACCCCAATCAACACTCTTTGGATTCCCCCGAGAAAGTATTTAAATACCATGTTTAACTGAGGATAAATCAAGAGATCTGGCCCACCCTGCATGGCTCAGTGGTTGAACATCGACCTATGAACCAAGTTTATGGTTTGATTCCTCGTTGGGGTACATGCCCGGGTTGTGGGCTTGATCCTCAATGTGGGGCATGCAGATGGTAGCTGATCAATGATTCTCTCTCTCCCTCTCCCTTCCTCTCTGAACTCAATCCTATATAATAAAAGAGTAATATGCAAGTTAACTGTCACCTCCACAACAAAGATGGTGGTGCCCATAGAGGCTGGGCAGGACGCTGGCAGCGTAACCCCAGTAACATGAGCCCAGCAGGCAAGCGGGGCTGCAGGCAGCACCCAGCAGGGCCTGCTGTGAGGTGGCGGTGACCAGCGAGCAGACAAGCGGGCCCGCAGGTAGCACCCAGCAGAGTCTGCTTGCCCATCCTGGTGGTGTGGAGAAGGCAGGCCCCGCAGAGAGCAGAGAACCATGGGGACTTGGCCCAAGCTATCAGTAGCACATCGCCTGAGGGCTCCCGAATTGGAGAGGGTGTAGGTCAGGCTGAGAGACCTCTCCCCACCCCCATCCACCCCCTCCCTCTGTGCACGAATTTTGTGCACTGGCCCTCTAGTAAAAATATATTAAGGAATAAAAGAGATCTGACCATGAAGGATCATTTCTGTAACCTTGAAAAAACTACTCCTTTTAGGTATTAAATCTCCAACTAGTTTGTAAGATTATTAAGAATGGGGACAGATATTTACTTTCATGTAGCTTCCTATAATACCTCACAATCTTTTCCTTCTTTCTCTTCTGCTTACATTAGAGGTCTACTAATTCCACTTTTCCAGTTTACCATATAATTCCAAGTTTCATAAGAGTTAGTCCTCACTAGAATGCTCTGAACTCTTTATCCAAAATAACATCTAATCATCTCTGCTTTCTCAGCTAACTTTATTAAAATTATATAAACTTACATAACAGAAGGGATACTTTTTAGCCTTCTCAGTCTTGTGCCTCCTACACCAAAGTTACCTGTCATTTATCTCAAAAAACATGGATTGCAACATTATTTCCTTTAAGTAATGAGAAGGTTTTTGGTAGGGAGATGGTTTTCCCAAAGGGAATGTTTTTATTTTTAATTATCATAGCTATGGAATCTCTCTCTCTCTCTCTCTCTCTCTTTTACTTACATTTTATATAGATAAGGGGCAAAATAACTAAAATAAATTTATTCTGATATTTCAGACATATAAGGGATTTTTATATTTACCTAATGTGCATTTTTACTGTGATTTGTCTCTCTAAAAGCCATAGTGTTTCAAAATTTAATGAGATTATGTGATATATTATCATCGTTTGCAAATGCACTCATCAGCTGTGATTAATCTTGCTCCTTCTGAGAAGCAGTATTGGGTGTTATTTTTTTTTTCCTTTGTAGTGGGTATTTGTGTCACTCTTTATGAACTTTGGCCAAAAAGACTGCCCATGGGAGTGGCAAGCAAATGGGATGTTTGGAATAAGGCATTTTATGACTGTCTTTATGTGGGCCTTTATGATAAGTAAACATCTCAAAGAAATTCACATAATCTGCAAAGAAAATAATGTAAATATTTATATACAGATATAATGTATATTACTAATTTATGGAAGAAAATATTGGATATTTCCTGCTGAATGAAAGCATATGCTTGATTAAATTAAAACAACATCGATTCCTTAAATATGACTTTCTCAGGACACCTATGTAAGCCTTACATTTCAAGGAAGATATAGGTGATCAGCTCAAGAATTCAGAGATCTAGCAAAGAAAGCAAATATAAGTCTCAGGCAATTCCTCTATGCATTTAAGCAATGAATTTTTATACTCACAAGATTACAAACAAATTAATCAATTATTAAGCAATTAAGTTCATCAGGAACAGTGAGAACTACTGTCTGCAAGAATGAGGCAAGAATATATTTTGAGATTCTGTCACTGTTGAGTGCCAGTTGTTACATCTTACTATCACCATATCTGTACCACCACATAGGCAGGATAACTGAAGTCCTTGTTAGTTCATTTCTCAAAGGAAGAGGATGGATTTGTAAGACATGTAGTGCATAGGGTAGAACTAGGACCTGCAATTATTAAATTTCTTTTTTTTAAATTTCTTTATTGATTAGGGCATTATATATGTGTCCTTATCTTCCCGTTGCCCTCCTCCTGCCCCCCTTCCCACTCATGTCCTCACCACCCTGGTGTCTGCGTCCATTGGTTATGCTTATATGC